TGGTACATAACTTAGTTGGCTGAAGTGACAGAGCCCCAGGTTTTCATCCGCGATCATTTGGAATGGTTGGGTCAGTTATGATAGTTTAAGGAAGCCAGATACTCCAGGGGTACTGAAGATTTAGAGCTCTTCAACGTGTCTGTCTCAGCTTGAAATGACCTAAGAGATTATTATTTCCTTGTCACACTTACGTACTGACCACTTACGTAAGTGAGTGATTGCTATGTCTCATCTTATTTTTTGCGTGTACCCTTCACCTGATTAAATCAAACTAACGAAAGTGAAATATTAACCCTCTGGTTGTCAAAGGGCGTGTTTAGGTAAATGTAATCATAAGGAATTTTAGTACTGCATGGTCACTGCACAGTACAACCATCACGCATACTTCCATCTTTGGTCTCCAGCCATAGAGATGAATAAATCAACCAAGGTCTTTCTTCGAAAGCACACACTACTAGAACCAACTAAGGTTGGTCCGATTCGTAGAGCGAAGCAAGTATGTTTAGGGGGTTCGCTAAGAAGCAGTGGCTTTATTACGTGTTAGGAATCTGAGGAAAAATAATTGAATGAGAATCGAAATAAGTGATAATGATTAAATGTACAGATCATAAGGCACTATATGTTATTGAAAAAGTTCCATGGAATTTAATTTCGACAGACTCCTCACCACTTTACAACCACTAACAAAATATGTCACTGCCCGGAATAAGTGGGATTTGAAATTAGTCGATTAGCTGGGATATGTGGAGCTGAAAAAGGACTACCAGCTGTTTGATAAAAATAATAACGGCAGATGAGCTCCAGTTTCAGTGTCCGACTCTACCAGATGATGGCTTAAATTGATGCATACATCTGAAAGGAAGCTTAGAGTAATTAGCCGTTTACTAAGTTTGTGTCTAGTTATTTCATTTTCATCTACTTCCTCCAGCTTTGATCGTATTTTGGCACCGGTGAGTGGCACCAAGACAATATGTTCATGGGGATCAGTTTCTGCTTGCAGAAACTGTGTTTCTTGTGTTGTGAAGTAGAAGCAGAACTGGTTGTGGCCTGAAATGATGTTTGGTGTAACGTATAGAAGATGTGAAGTCTTACTACGGATACCTATTTATATAACCTTGACTTTTTACTGCGGAAGGCAACTCTACAAAGCAATGATATTAATGCGAAATGGTTGATATGACACCCTTATTTAGTAAGCAGACTAAGATGGATGAATGTAATGTCCAATATCCCATGCCAACACATCTGAAGGCCACAACTGCTGCGGCCAGGTTGGATAAAGACGGTACTGTGATGTTGAAGCCGCTATAACTTTGTATTGACGAATTAGTAAGTCGAATAGATTTTCTTTCTGGTAATTACAAAGAATGGATGCCATACTCAACGTTCAACAGAAAGTTAATCAGATTATTCATCGTTCAAAACGAATTTTTGCTTAATATGACAAATTATAACATCTTTGAAAAATTGAGACATAATTCGCCAGACATTGAGTATAGTATCTATGAATTACACTTGTCCAATTGCGACCGTGCCGTCTCAATGAGTTCATGCTGCTAGCTTTGTCGTTTTACATCCAGTTTGTTTGGTTAAGTCAATCTTTTAACCTATTTTGGGAAGATAATTAATTTTGAGCGTTAACAAAATAAACAGTTTGTATGTATGATTACTTATCAGATTTTTAACACCTCATTCAGAAAATTGCCCCTTGAAATAATGTAATCAGGCATGTCGAAGCTAATTCTTTCAGGATGACTCACTTGAGAGGGACAGTCAATCCCTTTTTCAATAATGCCTGACCCCGTAAATTATAAAGGCTAGATGAATTGGATGTGTACTATGGAGGTCATCTTATGGATCCTCACACAATTCTGTTTGTTAGCTTTTGTACTGGATGGAAAAAACGAGGTGGTCAGTCCATGACATTGCGCTGTAGGTTGGAGTTAAGTTGTATTGGATTTGCATCTGTTGTTACGTCGTGTCTCCTGAAGCAGATTTAGATGGGTAAATCTAATCAGTGACTCGAAATATCAGATATGACTGAAAATCTTAATCAATGGCGAATATTCTGCAATTTTCTGCTCCCCTACTTCCCCAAAAATAACATTAACGGATAAAGGCTCCTTAAATACTGTTGACATATGTGCGTATTTGTTTTAATGGTCGCTTTCCTCAATCATTCTACTTTTATGTGCACGTGGTTCTCTATTGTTTTTGTATGGCATATATCTTATTACCCATGTTGTACCTAGGTTGCGCTTGAATAAAATAATTTAAGTGATGGATGCTAACTTTTAACAACACTATAAGTTAATATATGGTAAGGTTTCTTGAAATTAGTACACTTAAATTCTAAGTCGTATGCTGAATTTTGCTCCTTTTTTATCAACAATGGACAGCATGAGTGATTATAATACGAAGTAAGTTTAGGTCTGTCTGTCTGTTTTCGACATAGAACTTTGCACTGATGTGCGGCAGTGCAAGTCGCCACACTCCATGTAGCACACAAAGGAAGAGAAGAAAGTAGGAGAAATGCATACTATAGACAGTAAACAGAGGTGTGAGACAAAGGAATAGTAATAACGGAGAACAAAACAGTTTCATTGGAAATCATAAGTCACAAGGAGTGGATGCATCTGCGCCACTGAGAACGATTTTGAGCCATGTCACCAATCGTTTCCAACCATTGGTTTTTACCGTCCCGAGGACCCCAACCAGGAAGTCTACATCTCCCTACGTGACTTAGACTAACTGTTGTGGATTTCATTGACTGATGCCAAGTTTTGGTTTGACCGCCGCTAGCTCTTTTCCAGCCTGGCCCTATATCAGCTAACATTGCCCGTCGAGGAAGGCGATGACTAGGCAGGCATGTGTAACACATGTCCCAACCATCTCAGTCGAAGTAATTTCACAGTCTCATCGATTGATTTCCCCGTCTTACCTAGCACTCGACGCCTAACCTCAATATTGCTCACCTTATTATACCACTTCACACGGGAGATGGAACGCAGACACCTATGATCGAAGACAGCTAATCTTCTCATGTCTTCTGCTCTCAATGGCCAGGTCTCACAGCCATAAAGGAGGACGGAGCGGACTGTTGAGCAGTACACACGCCCTTTGGTCGATAGTCGGATATCGCGTCTACGCCAGAGACGGCGTAAACTGGCGTATGCGAACCTAGCCCTCTGTATTCGTGCTGAGATTTCGTCGGCGATCAACCCGTTGGGGCTGATGGTACTTCCCAAGTAAGTGAAGCGGTCAACGTGCTCTACCGCTTCACCCCCTATTTCTAATCTAGGGGTCGGTGAAGTCCAATCCTGCAGCATCATCTTACATTTTACAGGGGCGAATCGCATGCCAAACATACGAAGATTGTTCCTCAAGGTGTTCAGTAGACTCTGCATTTTGTCAGAGTCCTCGCCTAGAAGGACTATATCGTCCGCATATTCTAAGTCAACGAGATTATTCCCTGGTAGCAAGTCAATCCCTGAGTCGCTGAAGTGAGTTAGGGTTAAGTCCATTAGTACATCTATGATGAAGTTGTATAGGAATGGGGATAATGGGCATCCTTGACGGACGCCACTAGTCGTCACCACTTCAGATGACAACTCGCCATAAGCCCTCACCTGGCTGGATGAGTACGAGTAGAGTGCCTTAATCAGTGCAATGTATTTTCTCGGCATTCCCTTCACAGCCAAGCATCACTAGAGAACCTCCCGGTCGACAGAATCGAATGCCGCCTTTAGGTCAAGAAATATAATGATTGTCGGACGCCGGTAGGAATGCCTATGTTCTAGAATCTGTCGAAGGGTGAAGATATGATCAATACACCCTCTACCTGGCCTTAAACCTGCCTGGTTTTCTCGTGTTTGTGTCTCCCGAGCACCACTTAGTCTACGCAGTATTATTGAGCCTAGGATTTTGGATACTATATTAGTCAAGCTAATGCCTCTGTGATTATCACAAGAAGACGTCTCCCTTCTTGTATATCGGGATGATCAGTGACTTACACCAACCCGATGGGACTTCCTCTGATTCCCAGACGCTGCCTAGAACCTCAGTTAACGCAGACAGTAAACTGTCTCCACCATACTTAAATACCTCTGGAGTCAATCCATCAGGTCCCGCTGCTTTGCCTTGCTTCAGATTAGTGGCTGCTCTAGTAACCTCAGTTAGGGACGGAGGACCTGTGTCTATATCCCATTCAGGGAGGTGTTGGATGTCCGGCAGGCTAAGTGTGGATGTGGACCAATTAAACTGCTCCTCGTAGTGTTCTTTCCAGCGCTCCAGACGTCTATCCTGGGAGCTAATTATGGTGCCATTTTTTTCAGAGATTGTTTCGCTTATCATTTGCCTTTTACCACCTGTTTCCCTGATAAGCCTGAATAATTGTCTGGTGTTGCCTATCGCCGATGCTTTTTCCATCTCTTTCGCCTTTGTCAACCACCACTGTTCACGGTCCTTGCGGAGACTTTTCGTAAGTTTCCTTTTGTACAGCTTTCGCTCCTCATTGAATTCGGAGCTCACCGGAATAAGTCTTCTAGCATCTATCAGTTCGAATGAGGCAGTCGAAATCCAATGGTTTTTACTCACCTTTGGATTTACCTTATTCACAGCTTTTACAGCTGTATCTATGGCTGATTGAATATTCTTCCAGGCTTCTTCAGGGTGAGCGCAGCTGTCGAACTCAGATATGTGTTTAGCTAGTTCTTCCTCAAATAGGGACTTAGTTTGCTGATCGAGCTGGGGACGTGATGGTTTTACCGCCAGCTGTTTCCTACGTCCGTTCAGTCGTAAGCACACACGAGCGCGGACCAGTGCGTGATCGGTAATAACATCATATAATGCTGTCAGACTTTTTTGAGATTATTTAATAGTAGGTAATATGTTATTACTGATGTCTTCCTGTAAGAAGACAAATAAACCGTTGTGGATAAGATTTTATTTTGATAAATGACACAGTGTTATACAGTAATATTAACTGATGACGTTTCGAGCACAAACTATTGCTCATAATCATAATACTGTGATTTATCAAAATAAAATCTTATCCATTACGGAGTTATACTCTACCACAGTGCCCAAGTCTTATATCAACAAATAAACCAATCATAAATTACAGGCATAAAAGGCCTTAATTTGAGGATTTCAAATTCCTGAATTAGAACATATTTTTATCATCTTCGGTTTCTCATGAAGCTCCGAATTCTTGTATAATGATGACTGATAACTGTATTATGTATTAAACTATGCATGTTGTTTTATTAACACGTGACTCTGTATACGACGGCATCTATTCAACTTATTGTAATTCTTAATAGCCTAAAAAGAAAGCGAACCAAAATAAAATGATATTAAGATATAAAACATGGAATAAAGGCGGTATATTTAGCGTATATTGGGGTTAATATAATGCTAAAAATTTCGAGCGTGATAAAGAGTAAATATATTAACACGTACATCTAATATCTAGAGGGCTTCAGAATGACAGTCTGCACAATTTCCACTATTTGTTAAATTTTTCATGAAATGATGTTATCTTGGTTTGACTGCCTTTAATTTTCTTCCAGCAGAATTATATAAAGGCCTACATCTAGCGTTAGGATAAACTCACTAGGCATGCATGACATGTACATCCCCAACTGACTTGCCTGAGAAATTCTTCAATGATGGCCTGCAGGATGGTTGTCTATCTATAACACTCCTTTAGCTGATGATCTGCAATTGGGACAGTCCTGGTGTTTCCAAAGTTCTGAACAAAATCAGCCAGTTTAGGAAAAAATGCCGGTAGCGTTTACCTTTATTGGTTTGTCCACGTAGAATTTCGCAGGTGGTACTTTTCTTTACCTACAGTTTTACCAAATTAAAATTCCACCCATCTGCTAATATGATTATGTTGACGTGAAGCCGTTAAGAAAGGTAGAATACAGATTGCTTAGTCAGTCTCCCATAAAAATAAACACCTAAAATGGTAAGACAGCCCAACTAAAGCACTGTTCTCTGAAGAATCATGTCACTGCTGTTGTCTAGTCAGTAATACAACTTCATTCTTAAATATTAAAGTAGATTACTTACACTATGGAGCTAGCTGTTTGCCGCTATGCAGTCAATCTTTATTGAGTAAGAGAACGTCATATAACCACTATTTCTTTACTTAGCAGTTCTTTGGGTGATAACGTTATGTTAGCATGACAACCAGTTCTTACCAGCATTTGTCGGTTGAGACATCTATTTCGCAAGGGTTTACGCTTGTCCCTACTTGATAAAAGCTGGATTGATAAAGCAAGGTTACAACCCTTAAAGTCGTGTTCGATTCGCCAAAATAAATGTAATTATTATAGATGTGGGAGTGTATCCGTCATGTGTATTCACCAAAGATTATTAGAAGGCATCTTAATGTCCGTAAAATTACAATTTTAGTGAATATATTACATGCTGCGATTGTATACATTTATCATTCAAAAAATTACTTTATTAAGTACTACCAGTAGCCAGATAGTACGTTTAACTAATACAGTTTATTTCATAAGTTGTTACATTGGTTGCTAATTATTATAGAAGTTTAAAATTTCTGATGACATTTTTAGTAATATTTTTTGTCTATTAACTATATAAGCAATATATGTTTTTCCGTGAATGTTTTTATAACCAGGTTTATTCGTAATTATTTTAGATTGATCCTTCTGTGAATAATGGAGGAAAATGCACAACGCAAAGTTATTAAACAGCGTCTAAAACAATTTTATGGAAGTGATGTCGGAAACTCTGTGGATAATGATCCATTAAATATTGACAGCTCTTCCTTTGACATACATATGTACTTAGACAAAAGCTTCAAAACTAAAGATCTTTCTGATCTGATGTCTGAAGAAAAAGCTTTAAGTGAACAAATTCGCAGCTTGGATTCTGATATGCAAACATTAGTGTATGACAATTACAGTAAATTTATCAACGCAACAGACACAATTAGAATGGTAGGTTTACTTTTTACACTTGAGTACGCACTTTGAAGATGAAATCCAATTTCAGTTATGTTCGCGCAGAAATGAATTCATTATTACAGAATATTGACTCCATTGTCTCACTTTCTGAAGTAATCAATGAAAACTTAACAGACAAACGGAAGAAGCTGAGAACGCTAACAGCAACTCACCTGACTTTGAATAAAGTAGGATTCTATCTGTGATTACTTAAAGTCAAATTCATATTTGTAGCTGAACTATTTAGTTGAACTGCCAGTTAGCTTGAGAAATTATATGAATAAATGTGAATGGGAACAGACTGTGGCTGATCTTAATAAGGCGAAATTCATTTTAAAAAGTTATCATAATACCCCGTCATTCAAAAGTATTCGGGAAGATTGTGCTGAGATTCTTACAGAAATATGTGCAAGACTTTGGCGTCAGTTTGATGAATCCGTAAGTTTGTTAAATTTTCTATCAAAATTTTTAGAGTGATGCAGTTGAATGTTCCAGTCACTTAAAATTTTTGCAGCAGCTTGGGTTTTCCAGAAAAAAGTTATCAACGGCCTTGCTACGTTTGTGAGTAACAATACATTCATTTTTTTCATGTGTTCCTATTACTCACCATTTACTGTTGATGCTGAGGTGCGTAGTTGTCAAATGTGATATAATGTATGGGACTGCCAGGAATAATATAATGTTTTGTATAAAGCCATTTATTTATTATTACTTTTATTATCGAATAAACCACATCTTAATATAACGTTGTATCCAGTGTCTCCTCCAGGTAAATCGATGTGCACTAACAAGGAAAATAACAGACGTAGTTGATATTTCACTCTAGTATTGTGTTTCACACGCGGATTTCAAGATCCGGTTTTCTGGAACCTTTCCGTTTCAACTCTAAATGTAGTCATTGTGACTCTTAGTGACTTTGTTCTTTATATTTCTCTTTTGTTCTATTTCTGACTAGAACTAAACGTCAAATTAACCAACGTTTGGCTTATATGAAGATTTTGGTGTGTGAAGGTGACAAATCAAATATTCCCAAAAATGAGGTCTTTCATCCTACCGAAAATAATGTTGATTCTTCTTTGCAAGAAGCTATTTCAGATGAAATGGTAATTTGATATTTTTTGTAACCAAATGCCTTTAAATACAAGTGACATAGGATTTTGTCGCAACGATCACAAAATGGCACTTTAAATTTTGTTGCATGGTGTGAATGGAAGACGGTGTATTGATCATATCTATACCCTTCAACAGATTTTGGGACATAGACATACTAGTGCCCGACATGCCATATTTCTTAACGTGAGGGCGTTATTTGACTCTATAGACTGGAAGGTACTGTGAAAGTGTCTGAAGGTAATGAATTTACCGAGAAATTGTTTTGCACTAAACAACCTATTCTACTTGAACTTCTTCAGTCGTGCGATAGTATGTAGGGATTTGTCATCTTAAGTGAGGAAAAAAAGCCAGGAGTGTCCGTCATAGATGCCGAGAGTGTCTATTTTATTTTAATTTCATCATAGATGTACTAACGAATATGACCTTAATCTACTTTATCAACTTAGGAGTTGACTTACTACTAGGAACAGCCTCATCGATTTAGAGCATGCAGAGCTATTACATTTTCATTATTGTCCATGTAACTATCCTCTCGCGCTTACATTTCCGTTTATCATCATTTTTTGCATTTTTTCTCTACTTTTATGAATGTTTTATAAAGTGTGATAACATGCTCTGTCCCACTTTTGTGTGATGTTTTACGTTGGAAATTCAGTTCATTTCTTTATAAACGTAAAATTGCGTAGGCCAAACATGTTTTTACAAGAAAGATTGTATGTGAAGTACTTTTAGCAGAAGTGAGTTGTTGGTGCAGATACATTGAGAGTTATTATCTTCTAGACTTTAGATATATCCGTCATTCTTCATTTTATCACCCTCCTATTTGTTGCACTTTACTTTGATTATTCTGTTTCTTGTTGTTCCACTTGTGTATATGCTTGTTGTGTCTATTATAACTGTTGCGGCCGTATCATCCGAGACAACTTTTACCGAATCTCAGTGGATGTTGCGTATTCATTTGACGTTTTTTAACAATAGGTGTATCTGTAGGTTATAGTTTTAAAACAGGTGCATGTTTTGGAGTTAGATGCAACCGATAGATTCTATGTATCATTTTTTTTACAGTATTCTTTGAATTCTTGTTATGGATATATGTGAGACATATTTACAGAGACAATGATAACTTGAATCTGATCTTGTCAATCTCATACTCGAACAGTCATAATCATTTTTATCTCTAATTTTAGCCATTGTTAAAGCAATAAGTAGTTGTAGACCGTGAACTTCACACTACTTATAAATTGTATCTGAAGTCTTCGTGTCACTTGCATTGTTTTGAAATAGGACGTACTGAATTTAAAAGCGGATTGGATGCTGATGTATTTATACTTCTTAGAGTACTTCTTAGATACATTAAGGAGGTTATATTATACTATTATTCCCTTGGATTCCTATTGGAACCATGGCGCTTCAGCAGCAGATCACCATTTCACTCTTCCTCCGCAGTCTTTCAGCTGGCTTCATGATTATCAGTAAACTGTCAATTGCTACTCATATTATCTCCTCTATGTCACCCTAGGACGCACAAGTCGTCATTTTCCACTCACGTTCCACTCGAAAGCCTGGCGCATGATGTCGTCCAACGGTCTTATCAGTGTAAGTTCAATCAATCTCCATTTCCTTCTGTATATTTGTTAGACAATAGGTTCTTGGTCGGTTAGTCACCAGTGCTGCTTCTTACTTAACCTGGTCTTAATTTGGTCTTCAGACAACTGTGGATAAAAGTTTGCATCTTGTTAGAGAGATGCTTTTCGTGACGCGTGCGCCACGTCTCTGAAACATATAGAAGAACTGACTTGACATTTGTGCTGAATATTCGAATTTTATCCCTTATAGTGAAAACAGTAGATTTCAAGACTGATTTCAGAATAATGTAGGTCTATCTAGCTTTCTTGATCCTACGTGGAAAGCAACAAAGCCTACTTGTCAAGATCATTCCACATTCAACACTTCGTGTTACTCTATTTAAGTGAAAAAGGAATGAAATTGCAGTGTGTTCGCCATTAATTGTGATACTTAGCCGTTTCTGATAACGTTTCGAGCCACCTATTCGAACTATCTTTTGGATCCTTAATGTAACACAGGAATCCATCGTTCTACGGTGCTGTCTGTCTGGATTCAACATAGAACTTGGCACCGAAGTGCAGCAGTTCGAGTTGCCACGTTCCAAATAGCAAACAGAGGTATACAGGAGAATGAGTGAAGAGAATCAATAGAGTTTTAATAAGTATAAGAGTGAAACAGGATGAGTAATGGTAGAAAGGAATATGAAAGATTACAGAGACTGAATACATCTGCGCCATTGACAACGATTTTGAGCCATGTCACCTACGGTGCTACATAATAAGCTGACCACCTCTCTGCTTTTCTCATTCAGTCTCAGGGCTATCAAACAGGAAATGGTACAGAAGCCTCTGGGGTGACATTTGTGACACACCCAAGCCACGGAAGCCGGTGATCCCAGATGACGAAATTAAACAAATGGTGACCTCTACTTTGTCAAAACGCACGCTGATGGATCTCAGAATTACTCACACGATGATGGCATCGGAGGCAAGCAGTTTTACGGAGACAGTGCTAATTAAATACACAGAGTGGCCGCACATCCTCAGCTTGGGGATGCCAGGTTTCATATGCGTAGAGATAGACTGCGCTCACCGAAGCATCATAAACATTGTAAACCCGACCTTTGGCAGCCAGGCTAAAGTTATTATAAGAAGGTAGTTGGGGATGGTTAGCGTATAAAATTGGTTTTTGAGATCTTGTTTTACAACTGGTTTCTTGCCAGTAATCAACAAACCTGTTTACTCAACAAAAGTACTTTTTTTCTTAATTGACTTATGATATCCAATGATGTGACTATTAGTTTTTGATAGATTGTGGTATTTATTTGAAAACTTATCACTACTAAAAAAAACAACCAGGGAATGATGGAAAAGATATGTACCTCAAGTAGATGAGATTGGTTTATTTTCTTTCAGCTTGACGGTGTAGTTGCGTCTGGTAGGATTTCATGATGGAGACACTCATGGAAAAATAACTCTTCTTTTGAGGATTTCGCCAAAGGACAACTATCCAACTTTTCGTTTCTTTCTGGACGCAGGAAGTGTGCAGTGGTGTGTGGATTACAACACAGAGTCATCGCCGTTGAGGTACTTGGATTCATCCCCGTGTTAGTTAGACCCGGACATTGTTAGGCGACGCTGCCGTCAGTAACCTATAACATGGGTGTGTAACACGACTGCCACTCGCTCTGGAGCATTTAAATGGATTCTGATCGTGCTTTTGTTTCTTTTGCATTTTGGTAGTTATCATAAACGTTCTACGAAAGTTGACATAAGCTTATCTGTTGTGTTTGCTTCAGTCAAATATGAAGCACAACTAGATTCGGGATTATTCGTCCTGCAGAAGGCATAGATGAATACAATTTCACTCAAAAAACCTCAGAAAAATGTCGAGCAAAGTTGCTTGCTGCTTATCAGGATGTCACTCTAGCAAACATATTATGAATGTATGAGTATGGATGTGAAGACATTAGCTCCATACATCAACAATGAGAGGATGTTGTAGCTCGTCTTAGCGATCGTCAACAAGGAGCTTGGTGAAATGATATGACAGATGACACATCGTCTAATAACCTTCAAGGACTCCTGGGACGCCAGGCAAAACACTTTAAAGAACTGCCTAGCTGAAATACAATGTCAGTGTCTTTTAATCTAAAGAAAAGTATTCTGCGGTTGGTTATCACTTAACAAAATAGGGGTTCAGAAGGAAATCAAAACACTCAATTTCCACAAGGCACCCAACATACACAACTCTCATCTGTAGAATTGCTTGCATGCTGTGGAAACAGCATGTAAGTAATCCTGAAGTCTGACGATACATGTTTGGTGAATAGGGGGGAAACCGTCTTTTAGTAGCTGATTTCATGTTGAGATATTGGCTTCGGTATCTAGGATCAGCGTTTTAATTGTTATCCTCGCTACCTCCATATTGCTCACGGTTCAGGAAAAGAGAAAAAACAATCAGCCCATGATGTTACAGCAATCGATAAAATATATTTGTATTAAATTGACATTTGTTGGTGCATGAGAAGTCCTCAGATTGATGTTGGAGAAGCCGTAAGACTCAGTGGCTTGAGTTGTTGTCTAGTATGGCTCAGAACTGAAGTCAGTAACCAGCATGCTTCATTTTCTTTATTCCTTTTGCTAGAAAAAATTAAAATAATGAACGTACTTAATGTTCCTATGTGTTTCATTTTATTGTATCGTATCTATATTAATTTTTTCAGTGATTTTGCAGTGTGTTTCTTGATGCTCCCGGTGTGCCATATTCGTGTGTAAATAATCATCTAAAGTCTGTTTGGGAAACAGCAGATTTTTGTCGCTCAAATAAGTGAGGTTTTCCGTCCTAGTTTAGAGACAAAACAGCCATCCAATGTCCCTGTAGTTTCCAATAGTTCTCCAGTTGATGTTGGCTAGTGGCAAAATCTGCTTCCACTGATTTGTTTCAGCTGCTTGTCTGCGTTTTAATTGTGCTGTTGTTGTTGTTGGGCTTTAATTCTTTGAGGAAATATTTTTATAAGTATTGTAAATTCTCCATGGTAAGTTGAGGATTGTTACTACTTTCATATCACATTAAACCTGTTAACACGACGACTTTTTAATATAATTAATTAGTTCCTATAAAGCTAACATTTCAAAAAATTTATTGCCTTGCAGGATATATTATATTTCGCCAATCTCGTAACTGATTCTGTCCTTATTGAGCTATCCGCCTTTATTGGAGTACTGTCTGATATATACTTCACAGATGACAGTGAACCTATGGATACCATTTTGTAAGTCTACCTTTATCATTTGTCATAACCTAGTCCGCAAATAAGGAGTACTTCTCATTTTTATGCATGTAAACGGGTGACCTAGTCTTCTTCATTTAGCTTAATGAACTAAATTGCCATGTTGAAGATGATCTCTAGGCTCGAATCGGCTGTTTTTATTGGTGAACACTCAAGTATGGAGAGTACTTATGTTATCGGAAAATATACTGTAGTTGTTCATATATTATAACACCACAGTGTATGACATCACTATATATAACAGGATAGATATTCCTTGTTTAGAAAATGTAATTATTAGGTTAGCTAGCTGTGTAACTGTGTTACTAGAGGCCTTATGTTTATTGGCCCCCGAACAGGGGCTTTCAATCCCAAACTAGGGTGAAGGTAATGACACGTCCTATACAAGTGTGCTGTGCAATTTTTTTTTTTTTTTCCTTCACGTTCCCCAGTGGAACATAGGGCTTCAAGCTAATGGCTTGAAGTTTCTGTAGCAGTGTTTATTTTACAGGATGGGGTTGCTAGCCTCATGCCCAACCTTTCCTCTTCACCACTATTATTTCTGGCTCAACGAGGTAAAGGAGTGCGTGCAATTTAGTTAGTTGAATGATTTTATAGATACATAATGATGACTATATATATATATATATATATATATAGAAACATTTCACTGACTGTTTCTTAGAGTGATTACTTAGTTATAAATTCAAGATGCCTTTCAACAGAAAGTGAACTGAATGTATTAGCTTTCATTTTAATCATTGTAGCGTTATTGAAATTTCCAGTTACTTGTTGTCGTTAAAGTGCGTTTCTTTTGTTTTGACTTTATAGGGATATTATATCGGGTAAGGCGGAGAATAATACCCCAGAAACTGAAGTTATTTGCATTGAAGAACAATTGGCAAGTTTAGTTGAAGAGTTGATGCGCGAATTTTTCATTTTGGTTCGAAGTCGTTTTGAGCTAGAGGTGAGTGTTTGCGGAATTGAAAATGGTGACTGGTCAATAAGCATGTGTCACATCAGGAACATAAATTATTTTAAACATTTTGTAGTAACTTTTGCCTGTGACGTTTATATATATATACATATATATAAATATGTACAGTGCATTTTACCTGAAATTTCGACTCTATTTTAATTTCTCTCCTTGCATTCCCTTATAGATTAGTTCTCACATTATGTAATACATTTTTTAGAACATAACTACGCACATTTTAGGGGTTTTTGATGAATTTGACATTGAATATAAGTAAGATTTTACAGCTTTTGAAACTGGTTCATCGGAAAAAGAAATTTTCTTTGATATTACGTTTTCTTCTTGTAACATTATACCTCACTAAATCATTTCGACTAGTTTTAAGGATTACGCCTAGATGTATATGCCGGTTATCCATTGTCATTCTTATATAGTACGTCGGTGGCACAGCGGTTAGGATTCTCACTGACCATGCATACGGTCCGGGGTTCGATCCCTGGCCGGCGTACACGTGATATCAATGGTCGACCTGCTAAATTTGGGCTACCGATATCATATGCTGAAAATTCCCTTGTTTATTTATTTTTCAATGGGTTGCCACATTAGTTGTGCTTTTTTTTATTTTTATTCTTCCTTATTCTCAATTTACAGAGCACAAACACAGATATTAACTTACTGATTAGAGCTTTAGATCGTATCCACAGTCGAGTACAAGCATTTAACCGGTCACTGTTAACATCAATCACTTCTGTAGATATTGATGATGAATCGGTAGATGAGATGAACTCTGAATCATCACTATCTATTATGAATCGTTTTTCTTCATTGACCAGTCAATTTTCAAATTCTGTACTGGAAATAATTAATCAAGTTGCCCGAGCACAAACTACATATTATTTTGATATATTATGTCAAAATGCTGTTGAATCATTCACAGATCTTCGTCATAAACTAGCCAGTCACGGATTACAAACACTGACATCGAATACAACGAATGAAGAATTTACTAAAATGTGAGTTTCAAGTTATTTTTATTTCATAATGAGTTTTCTTGTCATAAAATAATTCATTGGTTCACTAATATCTGCCTTATTTCTCTTTCAGGAATATGATGGAAAATGATAATCGTCAGCTTGCTACACTTTTTGATGCTCTTAATGCATCGCTTGTTTCTCAGCTGCGTAATGTATTGAAATCTGAAGAGGTCAGTTCTTTTCACTTGTATTTTATATTATTATTGAGTTTATATATCCAAATCTTAGTTCTACTACCCTGTGTATTGTGATGTCAAATATCTATTTAACAAATTTCGTTCACTAGGCTATTTAATTTTCACTTTTCAAGTCAATTTATGTATGCAAAATAATAGCCAATCAAAATGAACAAACTGCATTTATTGTATGGAGGCTGACGGAGATGTATGTACTATTTTTTAAAACTCTCTTTTATTAAATTCTTTGCAAGATGCTTATTAAATTATGTGGATATCTTAGCCATCTTGAGGTTTAAGTCACCTGTATGTTTTCAACAACAGTTTATCGCACTGTTGTGCGTCGGTAGCACAGTGGTTAGGATTCTCGCCGACCATGCACATGGTCCGGGGTTCGAACCCCTGCCGACGCACACCCGATATCTGTGATCGGTCTGCGAAATTCGGGCTACCGATGTCCTTGCTGAGAATTCCATACCTGTACTTAAAATACGATGTGGCATTAAGCTGTAATTAAAATAAATAAATAAAATAAATAAGTGGATTTACTCGGAAGTAAGGATTATTATTTTATCAGCTTTCTTTATGGTGGTGTTCCTTGTTTATTCGTCCAGGTTTGATAACGGATTGATGTCGTTTAGAGACCCACTGCAAGTCAGGGAGTGTTGGACAGTTGTTTCGTCCTAGTTTAAGACTGTTCGGTGGTACGCACCCACTGGGGTTCGTACCCACACCTTTCGGTTACAGGGCAAGCTCGTAGACCATTCAGGCTGTATCAGGCTGCTAGCCAAACTTATGGTGTGAGAGCTTATGACACTCTCTAGTAGTCTCTAGGCTAATGTGGGTTGGGTAAGATTAGAGCTCTGAACACACTGGCTGAAATTCAAGTGCCAAATCAAATAATCCGAGTCTTTATATGGAAATATTTGACGAGGTTGTGTTACTGACTCGTCCTTGTTTTCTGGCTGATTAGTTTTCTTCGGTTAAGTTTTGAATACTTCAATATTTGTGTTCTGAATGCTTGACATATCAGTCTAAATCAATTGTTATAACTTGTCTTGTTATGATAATACAGACCTTGTCGGTGTCATGGTGCTATCAATAGTGGTAGTGTTCTTACTGTCAAAGTCGCTTGCTGTTTGACAGAGGGTATATCTTAGATTTCAACACTCTGAAAATTGTCACCTGGTTTAATTCATGTTATATGTAACCCTATGTTCCTATTGGATTTCGTGGGCGGTGTCCGAACTAGGGGAATTTAATATCCTTTTTAGATTCAGTTGCTTCTGTTGTCGTAGTCTTTGTCTTTGTCCCTACATATCTCCAATTCGCATGTTTTACGATTTTGCAAACTACTCAACCGAATACTCGGTTTCAGTTATATACGTGTAAACCACTTCTCATTTTCCTCCCTTTTACACATGGTCTTCGGCTTACATAATAAATTTTGTTATGCTTTCAGTAGTCTGTGGGCCATTGTTATCTCTAAAAGTCGTAATAGTCTTCTGGTGGCGTCTGAGATATTGATGTAATAGTGTAACAGCAGAAGGCAAGATACGGAAGTAAAGGTATATTTTCCATTGATCAAACCGCTATTTCTATATATATGCAGTTTATATTCTTTAACCAACTACTGAGCGTGTGAATTTGGGCTTACATTAAACGACATGAAATAGAATGTTCAAACATATATAGTATTCTGTTGTTGATGCAGTATTGAACTGTGTAAATATGTGAGAATAATATTCATTTGGAATACATTGTCTGTATCACACCACCACAACAGTAATGCCAATAATTTTACAGATAGCTGATGAAGAGTGTTTTGCAATTTGTGTTCTCACAGACACCTTCAGAAGTTAAGAAATTATTAAACAGTTTTTTTATTTTGGGCTTGTAGGCAGTTATTTTTTTGATTATAGCTTGATTCCACGCCGTATTTTCAGTACAAGTATGGAATTTTCAGCATGCGATATCGGTAGCCCAAATTTGCAAGCCAGCTATTGATATCAGGTGTGTGTCGGTATGGGATCGAACCCCGGACCATGTGCTTGGTCGACGAGAGTCCTAAACACTGTGCCACCGACGCAAAGTATGAAATGCATAAAAATTCACAGTTTCACAGAATGACACAGGATTCTCAATTGTACGGTGTCATTGTGTGTGTGTGTCATCTCATTAAGTGACTGACACGTGTTTTCGTATGTGCCTACCTCAACTTTGTGGGTTAGCAGAAGTAAGATTACGTTAGGAGAAAGAGATAGGGAAACAAATCGAGTGTGCCTCTAACCCATGAAATCATTAACTGTTGGTTTGAGGAATTTAGGCTGCTTGGATACGATCCGTATAATTACAGAGACGTATGGTTAAGAACGTACCGTAATATTGTTTAGGATAGATGACAGTGATACACATTCATATTTTATCTTTCTCTTACGCGTAATATTCTCTTTGTCTGCTATAGTTTAAGTACAGTTTATATGGTCTTTTTCTGTCAACACATCATTATGCTTGTATGTAATCCAAGCTGATTTCAATAAATTTCTCACCAACCTACCATCTTTTATTCTGACGCTTTTGTTTTGTTTATCAGATTATTTGGAAAGTTTATTTTTATTTTTCCAGGCATTTCTAAATACTGAAAGTACATTTTCCAGTGAACCACAATTTCGTAATTGTTTTTGCATTGATCAAATTCGAGAAGGTCTTATAGTTGGATATCTGAACTTTCTTGTGCAATTCCTCAGTGATCTTGCGAAGGTAAATACCGTTTCACGTTAAGCCTTATTATTTTTTAAAAATTCAAACTGTTTTGAGAGAAATAACTAATGTTCCCATTTCTAAAACCTAACTTCAAATTGAAGTATGCTTAGATGTTGTTTAGAATGACAATGGGAGCTTCGCAACTAAACCGTCCAGCTCAGAAAAGACAAATACACCAGTATATTCCTCTTTTTCATACGTGAAGCAAAATGCGGTCTTCTGTAAATTGAAAGACAATGTTTTAGTGCAAGCTAACTTAGGTTCTTTCATTCATTGTCGATAAATATTTGATTCGCTGTTCCATCATTCCCATCATCAAATCAATATGCATTAATTTAGTGACATTTATACCAGTGTACTTTTATTTTTCGGAGTGTTTTCACAGTCACGAATAATGTAATTCGAAGCGCTCATTTCTTTCTTTTCTTTAAGGTTTTGTCGATCGAACGTACCCAAATCGAGCGTCTTTTTTTATCCAAGTACTTGATTGGTACCGACTGTAGCTACAAAGTCTCTATAGTGTAGATTTCGTTACTATTCAGAATGCAACAACATAAGGGATTTATTTTATATATGTCCAAACCAAGTTCACTTTTAACAGTTTGAAAAAATTTGGGCATTGGGTATATGGCATTCATTATAATAAAGGTTTTTGTATTTCCCAATGAATGAAAAACAAAACGATATTGTTTCTACTGACGTTTCGCTATTTAATGCTAATAGCTTTACCAAAGTATTATTAAACCGGAATTTACAAAATCTCAGCATATATATAACAAAGAGTTAAGGGTTGAGAAAATAGACTTAGGTCAAGTTAAAAGGACATATTGAAAGTCAAAATAACAATGAAGATCACTAAACCAAATAACAAAGGTAATAGTATGTCTGTTGTGGTATCAAAACAAAGTTTACTAGCCTGATCATCGTTCGTCAGTCTGGGGTCATTTTTTGTTGTCAAGTTGGTCAATTGGTAAAGATAACAAAACCAAGTGTAGATTGTTGGATTTGATCAGTGTGTAAAACTATAAAATTAGTGTGTGTTTACATAGTGAACTTGTATATCACATTTGTGTTGATTTTGTCAATTCATGGGGGAGGGAGGTGTTGTGACCGAGTTCTATTACCTAAGTCTATTTTCTCACCCCTTAACTCTTTGTTATATATATGCTGAGATTTTATAAATTCCGGTTTAATAATACTTTGGTAAAGCTATTAGCATTAAGTAGCGAGAAGTCAGTAAAAACAATATCGTTTTGTTTTTCATTCATTGGGAAATACAAAAACCTTTATTATAATGAATAAGGGATTTGTGTTTACAAAAAAAATTGAATTCAGTTTTTATAAATAAATTAGGGACACTTGGTACTGCTTGTATGTGTTTGTTGGTTTCCAATTCATTATCTAAGATGTATTTTATTTTATGCATCATAACATATAGTTGTTTAAAATTGTATGACTAAACAATTTTTAAATTTCTATCCTGTAGACGGCTGTGTGTAAAATTCCTGGTCCAATTTTACTCATTCTTGCAAAAATGTGTTTAACATGGGCGAATTCTGGTACAGTCGGGCATTTAATGTCTTTAGCCGATGAGTTCATGTTATGCGGTACGTATACCTATACATATATGTATATTTAAATATATACCAGTTCAAGTTTAAGCAACTTTTATTTTACCTGTAAGCTGCATGAAAAGATTAGCTGTCTTCGATCATAGGTGCCTGCGTTCTATCTCCCGTGTGAAGTGGTATAATAAGGTGAGCAATATTGAGATTAGACGTCGAGTGCTAGGTAAGAAGGGGAAATCAATCGACTGAGATGGTTAGGACATGTGTTACGTATGCCTAGTCATCGCCTTCCTCGATGGGGAATTTTAGCTGACATAGGGTCAGGCTGGAAAAGAGCAAGGGGCGGTCAAACTAAAACATAGCACCAGTCAATGAAATCCACAACAGTTAGTTTAAGCCACGTAGGAAGGTGTAGTATTCCTGGTTGGGGTCCTCGGGACAGTAAAAACCAATGGTTGGAAACAATCGATGATATGGCTCAAAATCGTTCTCGATAATGGCGCAGATGCATCCACTCCTTGTGACTTATGATTTCAAATGAAACTATATCGTTCTTCGTTATTACTATTCCTTTGTCTCACACCTCTGTTTACTGTCTCTATTATGTATTTCTTCTACTTTCTTCTCTTGCTTTGTGTGCTACATGGAATGTGGCGACTTGAACTGCCGCACATATGTGCAAAGTTCTATGTCGAAAACAGACAGACCTGTAAGCTGCTAGGAATACATCACAATTAAAGTTCAAGGAAGCTATAGTGGAGTGTAGACTTTGAATTGAATAGTTATTAGCTGTGATATGCATTTTTTTTACTGCCGTCATTTTTGTGTTGGACTTGTTTTCTGTTTACAGCTCTATATTTTCAAATGATTACGAGCTGTAAATTATTCTGGAAGCTTGATGTAGTCATTGAACTTATATAACATGTAATTATACTCTACCTACTGCTCTAGTTGTACTTTGAGTTAAAAAGTAGCTAAACTGACAGCTTATCTAAGTTGTCCCAGATTCTTTTCATATGAATCTTTAGGTGTATTTTTATCAGTTAATGGCTTTTAGTAGAATAACTCTATCATTTATAACCTTGATATTAATTTCTGCTAATATGCTTTCTTTTATGTAATAAGTAAACTGTACTGATTCCCTCTGTAAAACAGAGGCTTTGAAGCTTGCACAGTTGTTTTACTGTTTCTAAATCCACTTAATTTACCACTTTGGTTCATTTTTGAATGAATTTTATTCTTTGATTAAATCTCCTCACTAACCGACTTCATGGAATCATTAAAAAGTTGTTCCATTTGAAGATTAAGACTTTAGCAGTGCACATGAATTCTTAAGACAAAAACTGTTGATATTCTATGGCTCTTACTCCATAATACACTTACCCACTATTCTTATCATTTGCTGCTTGATATTGAAGCGTCTTCGCATCCTGGGTTTTCATTGAGTTTTTGCAGCATATATTCAAGTCGTGACAACGTACACCTTGAAGCAAATTAAATCCCTATAAATTCAACATTAAAATTTACTTTTCTTCCTTGTGTGTTTCAACTAATGCATCCTTTTATTAAATTGCCCTTAATTTGATGGATTGTATGTTTTTAGGGGGTCAAAGCATTTGTTAGCTGATATATTTAGAATATGAAAAGTTCAGGAACTTCGTTCATGAATCTATATACACATTCCATTCGTAATTTAGTCTAATTAACCTGTTAACTAACAACCATCTAGTCTGGAACATTTTTTGTCTTTTTTGCATATTGATGCGGTTTTGTTAGCAATTACCGCTTTAATATTACTATTATTATTTGTTATTATCACTTCTTACATCATAGTTATTATTTGTACCTTTTTCAGGTGCACAAAATAAAGAAATAAGCGAAGATTTCCTGTCTGATAATGGAAGTCGATCACTCACCACTTCGAAAGATGTATCAGATCGTTTCAGAACTACTGGTAACGAACTTCTGATTGCTTTTGTCCGACTGGAAGGTACAAACTTGGCACAGTTGCTGCGGAAGAGTGTAGAAGCAAGGGATTGGCTGAAAAACTTGGAACCACGTTCGGTTCGTTCAGCTGTTAAGAGAGTGATAGAAGATCTGGTTTTATTAGATCATCAAGTAAGATATACAAATCAACTATAGATAGTTAAAGTCGAATATTTTCTTAATTGTTTATTACTTATCATGGTTTCACTTAGTACTTTTGCTTTTATCTAACCTGTGGTTATATTTTCACTCGTTTATTTGATTTTTCTTATTATAAACAGATATCATGTACTCATCAGAAGATGCACTTTCTTACTCTTCCTTCCTATCTAAACTGCATCTGTAGGTTAGTCAGTTATTTGCATCTTGCACACGTAATCGTGATCGAATTTCTGACTCACGTTCAAGTCGTAGTCTACGGCCTAGTACTTCATCGCATTATATAGATGCTACACGATCCGGCGGTTCTGGACAAGGCATTCATTGTGCTGATTTAGATCCAACTCTAGCTACTCATTTACGTCGTCTTTTCACTCAGAGAGTAGACATTTTTGCTGCAGTTGATGCCAACCGGGAATCATTGCTTCTGGGTGTTATTAAAATAGGTCTGAAGGTTAGTAAACTATATATTTTTACTAACAAGTTTCGGTGTTACTAATCTTTTATTGTAATTTAAAGCTTTCGTATGTGCTCAACCTTGCTAATGTGTGTTATAGTTTTGAAAAGCGGTGTGTGACACTTGTTGAAAATTACTTTTTTTATAACTAAGATGGTCGTGGATGACACCTAAAGTATTTTGGTAAACTGGTCTCAGAGATTTTAGTTTGATATATATTTATGGTTATGAGATCTTTTAAGCCCTTCTCATACAGTTGATATCTATACATCTAAAATAAGCCATTTAGTTAGTAATGATGTATGTTTCGTGTCAATAACGAATTATTCACTCATAGCAAGGAGGCAACCACTTTTCTGCTCATTTATTGTTACTCATAACACAATGTTACCGTTCATCACTTAAATTCAAATAAGCAAGAATCAATTCGTTTGTGCTGACTTGACTTTAGATCACTCATTGTTCGAGCTTCCATCGATAGATCATGAGTTCATATCCGTCTCCAGCTACTTTGGTTTTTTTGATAATCGAGTAGTCGTACCCTAAGCGTGGCTCATGGTCTGGTACATACAATTTTATTGAGTCACTAAGTTGCATTAATTCGTTTAAGTTAGGGATTTTAATTTATTTAATAAATATAGGGGAACACTAAAGAGAAACACTTGATCGAACAACTGTTCAATTGATGCCGAGTCTGAGAAAGTTACTCAAATAAATATTCCCCTTTTCTGTCTAACATAATCTCGTCGCACGAGTTTTTCAGTGTTGTTGGCTATCAGAAAATAAATTAAGGTATCTTAGTGCAGGTGGTATACATAGCGTTTACTTACTAAATAGTTTTTTATTGAATTCATTTTCATTGTTTATTATTATGCACTTATAATGTATTCTTTTAAAGTAATTAATTTGTATTTGAAAGTGTTTCTAAACGACAACTTAACCACCTCTTAAATGATATTTTTGATGCGTATTGACTGACTGACCAAGTTTCGACTTAGGACTTTGCCCAAAACTGTAGCAATTCCGATTGCCATTCTATGTATAGCACATAAACGTACAAAAGGGAAAGAAAAAGAAATTCCAAAGAACTATAGTGAGTAGAAATTTACAGGAGAAAGAATATTAACATTGAAGGATATGAGGATTGAAGGAATCTAGGAAACCACAGACTGTAACACTAAAACGGAAAATTCGAATGATACATTCAACGATGGAGAGATTATTTTCCCTTAGATAATAATTTATTAAGAGATGCTGATGAAGAATGGAAATTTAGCCTCTGACCTTCCAAAGGCATATTCATTTATGATAATATCTGAATGATCCTTTTGCGTAATACCAATATTGTGTTATATTTTTTAATTTTTTTATTCGCTATTGATCGATCTTCGTGCGTTTAAAACACAATCATGGTGTTTAGACTTTAATAGAGTGTGTACGCTTGCAAACATTCGGTCGTTATGGTTTACAACAAATACAAGTTGATTGCCGATATCTACAAATACATTTATGGCATTTCGTGAACGACGAGAAGTAAGTTTGAAATTATTTTAATTGAATAATGCGTTTATATTCTTACAAGTTAGTTGTAATCCCATAGATATAACAAAATTCCTTCAGTGAAAGGTAGTGTAATAAAGTTTGCTATTGTTAATGCTTTTTTTGGAAATGCCAATGGAGGCATATTTGGCGAGTAGTGTTCATTATTTCTAGAATTTCGAATGTCAATCTAGTTATCTGAGCATTTAGATATAATGGAGATTTGTAGCTCTGATAGGTGATTTTGATGTAGTCGCGTTCGCTGAGCAGGATGGTTGAGAAGCTGTCATTGTCTTACTAGACAACATTTCCAGTGGATACTTCAATTTGAAGTGAGCATTTAAATCCTTTCCGCATAATTTGGCTTGATAGATAGCCTGTTGCGTATCAAGTACGGGTGTTCACTTACACTTCGTCTTTTGGTAATCATGCATATGCTGGCTATTTGGGGAAATAAACTTGGTGGAACAGGATCCAGGAATATAGGATAATAAAGTTATCTCAAGCCTGTTAACATATAAGTTTATTCATAAGTAAAAACACAGTTTTTGTTCAGCGAAGAAATTTCTTTTCAGCGACTTCATTTTCAAGCTGTACAGTCGTATTTATATTACAGAAAAGGTCATTAAGTGGCACTAAATAATTGCTCAGTCAATATACATATATGTGATAAGAATAACGATAATTAAAATGTTATAAGGGGTAGAGTTGAAGTGGATAAATTACAAAATTATTAAAGATTGTTTTATAAGTGAATTGAAAAATGTTTTTAAAATGTCAAGTGTTGTCTAAAAATTTTATAAAATAAGAGTACGATTACGATAAGAATGAAGATGTGAAGTGAAGTGGAAAGAATTCAAGTGGTAAAATAAAATAAAGTAAAAACTAGAAAGAACATTACTATGACCAAGGTAAAGAAAGGGGTTTGACAAAACGTTTTTGAACACATAATTTAGGTTTCTGTTCATGTACAGCTAAAGCTTCGGCTATGCATAAGTGAAGAAAACGTAAACTTTTGGATCGATTCGATTTTGCCATGTAGATAACTTTGAAAGATGAATCACGTGGGTCTAAATGACCTGACTCTAACAGGTGATCACAGATAGACGACTTCGCAGTTCTACGTTCGCCTTTCATTAACCAGACTGGATAGTGTTCAGCTACACGTTTTCGGAGATTACGCTTACAACGTCCAATATAAAACAATCTTTAATAATTTTGTAATTTATCCACTTCAACTCTACCCCTTATAACATTTTAATTATCGTTATTCTTATCACATATATGTATATTGACTGAGCAATTATTTAGTGCCACTTAATGACCTTTTCTGTAATATAAATACGACTGTACAGCTTGAAAATGAATTCGTTGAAAAGAAATTTCTTCGCTGAACAAAAATAAACTGTGTTTTTACTTATGAATAAATGGGTATTTTTCGTGATATAAGTTTATATTTATGGGGACGTTTAGATTGCAAAAGTTTTTCCTTACGTGTTTCATCTTTTGTGTGACTCTTCGAAGTTACTTATTACTTTTTCACTTATGAGTTATAGATAATGTTTTGTTCCTTACGTTCCGAGGAGAGCATGGGGCTTCAAGTTTCGAAGCTTCAGTAGCGGTGATGTTATTTTTACGGAGTGGAGTTGCTAGCCTCAGGTCCATTCCCCCCTTTTTCTCGATCTCGCCACCGCCTAATAAGTTACGCGTAGCTTAAGAATGAGTCAGCCGGGAATCAAACCTGGGCCATTTGTGTGGCTGGAGATCATTCTACCATCAGACCACTAATATACTATAGAGTTATTTTTCCTTATTCTTAATTTTGACATTTAAGTAGACAATAGAAATAGGGCTAATCGAAATATTATTTGCGTATTTGTGAACCGTGTTTTTCGGGAAAAAATATTCCTTAGGCTTCTGTTGCCTTTAGTTTAGTTGTAGTAGAGTCACCAGACCTCTCATTAGAACTTGTGTCATTGAAACGGATGATTATCAGTGAACTTCGATTTAAACACATGTATTCTAGTGTATTTGAATAGTCTAGCACCATATCTTATGCATTCAGTTGAGTCGCAAGTGTGTAATGCACTGAATTCACTTAGATTCAATAAGCTGGAATGTGTCATCTTCCACTTACAGAATAATTGTAACCTGAGTATGAAGGTATACCAGTTACTACCAATGCTTGTGTAAATTAGCAACTGGGACTCATTGTTATTGTTATGCTTATTTGTACATTACGTCATGATTCACATTCATCATATGTAGGCTAATGATGTTACTCGCTTCGAGTACCTGAGTTAGTTGAAGTGAGTTTGGAAACATAGTCAACTTTTTCATATGAATCGGTAACGTGTTTGTAATGTTTTCATTTCAAACTTAATTAATTAATAGTGTTGGGAAGTTTATACTTACATTGTGTTTTCTTAAAATCTGTTGTCTCTGTTTAGGCTTATTTGTATGTTATTGGAAGATGTAATATACAGCGTCGTTCAGCGTTGTGTAGACCCGTGTTTCATGGAAGAGAGTGTAAGTTTAACATTTAATGATGAATAGATTCATGTTAGAAAGGTTTTGTATTTGATAATCAGTTTGTATGGGCGCTCTGTACAGTGAACTGTATGAATTCACCTAATACTTCACGTATAACTGTACTGCAAAAATAACTAATACACTTTTGGGCTGAGCTCTACACTAGTCTATCTGTTTGTCTTGTGGTTTTTAATATCTTTGACACTGTTAATTTGTTCTGCTCGGATGACAAATGTTTACCCAGTGTCAATTTGCAAGGAATATCGAAATAATTGTCAGTGAGGGTGGTTAGGAAAGATTTTAAGTAATCTTATAAAAAGCTAAGATCTAATTATTACTGAAAACCCTAATAATACAGATTATGGGATCAGTAATATTGATTATTGTTACCTTGGGTTCCGAGTGGAACATACGGCTTCAACAGCATATCTCAGTCCTGTCCTATTCTCTGCAGTCCTCTTTAGCTAGCCCAAAGATTCCCTATAGTCCCTCATCTCCTCACAAGATCTTCTCCATGTCACCTTTGGAGGCCGAAGTCGTTATTTCGCCTTCGTGTTCAACTCTTGAGCCTGTCGCGCTATGTCATTTAACGGTCTCCTCAGCGTGTGTTCAGTCCATCTCCACTTTCTTTTCAGAATATTTACTGAGCAATAAGTTCTTGGTTGGTTTGTTCCCAGCCAGAGTTTCTTGTTGCTAATCCTTCCTGGCCATCTAGTTTTCAGTATGGAGAGAAGGCAGCTATTAATAAAAGTCTCCAATCTGTTACAAATGCTTTCTGTGACACGCGTGTCAAGTTTCCGGCTCTTAAAGAGACATTAACTGACTTAATATTGGTGTTGAAAATCCTAATTTTTTTGTTTATGCTGAGTGCAGAAAATTTCCAAACTGGCTTCAGAGTGATGAGTGTCCACCTTGCCTTTCCGATCCTGGCTTTGACATCTTCATCCGTTCCCCTTGTGGTTGAAACGATGCTTCCTAGATAAGTGAAGGATGTGACCTGTTTCAAATATATTTTGTTGGTAGTGATTGGTGCTTGTTGTTGTTCATTGGTCACCTTCATCAGTAATATTGAATGATGACTAAAGATGATAGGAAATAATGATAGAAAGGCAGAAGGGTTAAAATATAAGTTCATAGTGTATTTATCGAGTTTTAGTTAACTCAATTATAGACCAGGTTAAACAAATTGTGTATACATATTCTGTTTGGATGCACACTTTGAAGTTTTTTCTCATTGTTACTTAAAACTCCCTGTTTAAGCAGTAGATGTAGTCGTGCATTTGTTAACGAATTATTGATTACAATATATGTCAGTAGATGGGTGTAATGCAACCTAATATCTTGTGTTAACTGTTTACTGAATGAGATAAGATTTTGTTGCATCTTTTACCTAACTCCATGACGTACACTCATGCGACCGAGGATTAAAATTTAGCTCTGATTGGTACTCGATCCTTTCATTTTTTTTCCACCATTATTCTAAATATATTATTATCACATTAATTTGAAACATCAAACAGCATTAAATAACTATGGCTTAAGGAATACAAAACTGTCTCGGATTATTTTCGAAAATGCATCTTTTTCCCCATGACTCCCACGTATTTAAATTTTGTTTGAAAATTCTACTGTCTGTTGTATTATTGTTGTTTCAGTCGTCAGTTCATATATCTTGAATGCGTCTTCATGTTTCTTTTGCAATGAATGTGTGAGTTGCCATTATTGCTAGCAAATAATTTCCACCTGTTTACTTGCTTGAGTGTCGGTGGCACAGCGGTAGAATGCTCGCCAACCACGCATGTGGTCCGGGGATCGACCCCTGGCTGGCGCACCCCTGTACGTCGCTAAGCTAGTAATAAGACTGGTAGAGTGGAGGCTGAACATGAGGCTAGCAACGCCATCCCGTAAAAATAAACACCACTGCTGCCGAAACTTCAGAGTTCTAGTTTGAAGCCCTATATTCCACTGGGAAAGTAAAGGGATAAAAATTTTAAAAAATATTTGCTTGCATGTGTGTGTGAGTGTGTTTACTTAGGTAAGTTAGTTCACAAAGTTGTATGTATTTTTAATTTTAATTTTTGATTACAGCTTGATTCCACACTGTATTTTGGTACAAGTATGGAATTTTCAGCATGTGGTATCGGTAGCCCAAATTTTGCAGGCCGACCATAGATATCGGGTGTGCATCGGCAGGGGATCGAACCCCGGACCATGTGCATGGTCGGCGAGAGTCCTAACCACTGTGCCACCGACGCACTTCATTCATTACTGACTTCCTTTTAGTGACTGAGCAGGCTTAAATCACTCATCTTCAATTGGAAAAATTGTGACATCAGAAGTCGACTTCATCACTGTAGACGGACGGCCATTCTGTTTACTTTTATCACTTCATCTGATTAGTAGGTATATTGAGTTTGCTAGATAAAAGCGATATCAGCTAAGGTAGTCTTAGTATCTCTTAGTCAGTTCATCTGACTATTGTGAACTCTCAGTTACACTTTTTAACATAAAATATCTTTTTCACTGATTAATTGTTAATTTCTTTTTTGTTTGTTTATAGGTTGTTGAAGCAATATGTGATCGAGCATAGGATACGATTATTCCGTTTCACATTACATCCGGCCTTCAATATAATATTGATGATTTTTCTTCTTTTTTGTTTATGAAATTGCATAACGCATAACCTTTATCTGTGATATCTATTCAATCCTACTTCCTACAGTTATTTTATTGTATAATATCGTGTCTTTTGTCTTGGTGTGAAATTCACTATTATTTATGATACTTTATCCTAGTGTTTTTATAGTTAATCACTTCGGTGTGATTTCAAATAACTTATTTCAGGTGTTGTTATAAGTTTCGGTTTATTTCTCTTCTCGTGAAGCTTGTAAAATTTACCGTATAAGTTTGTATACTTTTCTTTTTTTAAAAAAAATTATTTTCTTGTGTCCGTAAATCCTTTGATTCCCATTTTCATGGTTTACTGAGCCACCCATATCATTTGTAACCCTAATTTTTGTGTGCTATTCAATGAATTTCCAAAACTTATTTAGTTTAACTTATATGTAGTAGAAACAACTGGGTGGGTTAGTCTTTCAACGCAACTTCCGATCTTTATTGACTTTGAGGAGTTTTTCGGTAGTCGTGTTTCCTAAGTTAGCTTTCCTTGACTTTAAAACTTCCAGCTTTATTTTAGTCATTATAATCACTACAGAGGAATCAACTTTTTAAAACCAATGCAACCATTGTCTCCTACACAGTAAACTAATGAAAAGAATGTAGTTAGTGTAACTCAGGTTCTGTCGTTCCTTTATGAACTTATCATAAAACAATTCCCTGTTGATGTCGATGATGCATCAGACTGTTACCATGGCGAAAACAAATTTGTAGTTTTCAACTTCTTCAGGTGTCAATCTGCTGATAAGTAAATTCACTAATTGCTAATAAATAATTCTGAAGTATGATACTGTTTTAAGCCTTAATATTTTAGTATGTGTCTAACGGATCAACGCAGCAGTGCATTATTTCGAATTGCTACACTTCGCTAGATCAGAATTTTTTCGGAAGACTGCATCTTATTATTATTTTTACAAAAATTAACTCAGTCGCCAGTGTTGTGTAGATGAGCACAAATTCTCTTGTTATAGTGATGTTACTTCTGAAAAGATAATAAAACGAGGTCATAAGTTTACGTGAAAATTTAATTACACTGGGGGTGTATGTGTCAGGCATCACTATTTTTGGTAATTTCAGATGACTAGTCCTCACAAAGTGTTATATGGCTTCGTGTAATCGAGTAGAATACCTTAACCTAATATATCTCTTAGACTTTTGCTTCACGGTCACATACTGACGAAAACTCTAGATCGATGGGATCGAATGTCATCTACAGGCAAGTGTCTGATTTCAATACTTATAATGGCTTGTTCAATGGTGTATGTATGTGATCAGTGTATGTAGTTCATGCCTGAAACTTGTACATTCTTTCGCGTTTGTTTATCTTGATGTGCGCTTAATCTACGTAACACCGCAGACCTTAGGATCCTTGGTACCATATCGCTTAGGCTGGTTCTCCTGTGGTTATTGTAGAAAAAGTAGTCCCTCTTCTAATAAACTGCAGTGGACAATAGGTTACATTTGTCTGATTCACGTACGCCAAATAGTGCCACTACCCTTAAACATCTCTGAAATCAAATCATTCGGTCCTGCTTAAGAGTACGGTAGAGCATCTCTGCTCACAAGAGTCGTGCGTATACACGTGCACAATGTAATTCTTGATGGGAGTCCACTTCGATGCTGCAGAATGAGACTCAGTGTCCTGCTGATTCTTCGACTGTAATGTATATTAGTGATGCAGATCATCGTTTTTCATTGGTTGTGATATTTAACTAGTTTTCAAATTGATGAAGAGACTAGTTTTTATCTCATGCTAATACGTCAGTGTTAAAAGTAAAAGGATGTTTATTTCAAAGGATTGCAGTGACTGTCGGTAGAGAACTAAAGCTTGCATTCAACTCATTTCGTACAAATGATATCAGAATCATATTTTCGGTTCTCCATCACTTCCTTGAATGCTTTCTGTATTCTGACCTGTTTCTTGTTTAATGTGCTTCAATGGCTAAATAGAAAATAAATTAATTCCTCTGAAGGCATCAAAGTATGCAACAAGTGTGTCTTCGATAATTTTATGCACTGTAACAGTATCTAAATGCATCTAATCAATAGCATTATGACACAATGGTGTAGTTGTGTAGAATGCAAAAATATCATGTAATCCGTCAAAATCATTAGCCTACAGCATTCACCACTGGTCGCTGATCTTCATTGTTCAAGTTGACCAGTTAAGCTGAAGGCTCACGGTGAAGCATCTGAGCCACAGTGTTACGTTTGTTCTCTCGTTTATGATCCCCAGCTAGCTGATCGCCCAACATCTCACTACGATTTTATTCTGGAGATATTTTTCGTACTTTTAGACTACAAATTTGGTGTTCGCTTTGCATTTGGTCTACTCAGAACAAATACTGTAGGAGTTGTAAGAGAAAAACTTGTCTTCGGATGCGTCATACTTTTTGCGCAAGCGCTGACGCTCCCAAAATGGAATGAGGACGTAGGTAAGGAGTTTGAGATTTCAGTTAAAAGGTGCATACATTACGGAATTACAGGAGAAGTATCACAACTACAACAGAAGTGATGAGTAAATAATTCACATGATGTAGCAGTGTCAATTATGACTCTTCCACACAGTTTTGTGTGGGTTTTCTGAGTGGTAGAATGACTTGAAACTCTCTTCAGAAGTTTAGTCATCCACTACCTGTGGATTTGAGAGCGAACATCTCTACCTAGTTTACGTAAGCTTTAGAAAAAGTATTGGTATTATTGCTAACCCTATACGGTATTGTGCTAATATTATCACCTCCAGTCTATTAGACTTAACCAATTAAGCTACATCTGATCAGCTTGCATGCGATCTCTATTTCAGTCATATGTTCGGAGCGGTTTGGTGAAATGAGACCACTGAAGCAGCAGAATATGACCTAACTTTCATTAGTATGAAAATAACGGGTGACACAAACAGCAGAAGGCAGAAGCTTATATGCATCAATAAAGCTTGAAGTATTTCTCTCGTGTGTGGGTAAGGTAACACCTTGTGTCCAACCTGTGATGCCTAGATTTTCAAATTTATTGATGGAAGCATTTTGTAGCAGAAAGTGGTCACGATCAACTGAGAAGGGAATGGCCTGATTAAAACAAATCTTTGGTGGTAACTTTGGTCACACATTGAGGAATGGATGTAAGTTTTTGAAGCGATGCCGCATTTTTCAGAGCAGGCACATGCCAGTCAACGCTTAGTAACGTTGTGTCGTTAAGATGGTGATTCAAAATTACCCGAGTTTTCCCTTTAATCTGTTTTATTGAAAACATGGTTCATGTACGAATTTCGCTGGAGGAGGAGGACGAGAATAGGTTGCATTTTCTTGGACATATCAGTTGACAGCTAGTGAATCATAAGGGTGCAACATGCTAACTTCAGTGCAGTCTGCCACATCTCTGTTAGAGAGAAGAGAAATAAGTTCTAGCCTAGTAAAGTTTTTATGGAACTGTGTCTGGTGCAGGTTGTCATCGCTTTTTTAAGAAATTGTCTAATATTATCTGAGCTGTCCGCAGTAATATTCTCTATGTGATTTTGTGTTGCCCAAGAGCTGCTTGAATTTTCGAGCAGTCTGTCGCAGAATTAAGAGTGTTGCCAGGTTCAGGTAAATTTCAACACAAACACCATAAAAGGTGAGACTAGGGGGAACATATGTGGTTCCGCTACTGACAGAATGAACGTTAATTAGAATAAGGGATGAAGAACAGATTTAATCATTTGACATAACGACAGTTGCTGCTGGCGGGTGTTGAAGCTGCAACGTAAATCGACCTTCTGTTTAAGTGACTGGGAGTCTAGGCTTAATTCGAATAGCGGAATCCGAACTGTTATTGGATACAACTATATGCACACGGTGAATCGGGTTAAAGCAATGATGATTTGGGTGAAAAATAGGGTGAGAGACAACATTTTGTGGCTTAGACACGGAGGCCTTGCGCTATAACCGTCAGTTTCACCTTTTTAACGGTTCCATTACCCGCGTGTAGCCGGAGAATTTTAATGACATCAACTAAATATTTTTATTGTTTTAGTACTTGATGCTATTAGAAATGTTCTGCAGTGTACATGTTCACAGGGTTTGTAGTCCAGAAAAATATCTGTAGCCTTCTAAATTATTGTCTGTAACTACTTTCTGAGATTAGGGAAAATTTTTGTTCGTCCAGTCACTTTGTTAAGAGGCATTATTCAGTACGCACATATTACATTATCATATCCGGGAGTATCAGTAGTCACCCTTATTTTATGTTTTCCACTTTTCACTTTTACTGTCAATCTTTCGAGATGCACACATCGCAACCATAAGTAACAACTCGATTAGAAGTGAGCTTTCTGCAGCGGTTGAAAGGTACCCCTGAAAGCTATAGCCTTTCGCTTAATTCGGCCCAGTCATATCGGTGAATCATCCATATTTATTAAGGAAACAAAAATTTACATGGATTTTATTTTCTGGCAGGTCTATTTGGGCTACTCCAACTATATTTGGAACATAAACATCAGAACAACCAACCATCCACACAACTCAGGAACCTGCTTTTCTTTAGAGTAAAGTATGAATATTGATGAGAAATCGCTCCTTGGATATAGGAAGGCAGGAAATTAGACTCGATTCATTCTAGGCAGAAATAGTGATAGTGAATTTTGGACGCAGCCGCGCATTACAAAAAGGTCGTTACGCGTGGTTCTTGACAAAACGTGAGACAACTTTGTTTTTACTGAAGTACAGTTAAATATTCCGAATTTTCTATCATTTATGTAAATTTAGTTAAGGAAAGTTTCGGGAATGGTTTCTTATTAAAAGTAACATTTGCGCATTAGTTTTGATCCAGTCGCATCAGGTTTTGCTTAGCTCCTAAAACTGCCTTACATTGTTGCTATGTTTATTTAGTATCTATATAGGTAAATTGTCGATCATCACGTTAATATTGTATGTTGGGTCATATTACAATGGATTTTGGGTAATCATTTGAGTTACAACATAAATGATTAATTAGTTTATTTTATGATGTGCGCCCTACGGGTTTGTGGACACAGAACCTGTTATCAATACCGTAATACTCATTGATGAATCTGAACTAGTGCTAACATTTTGGCACATGTGCTGTGGTAACCAGTTAGATTCACAGGTGGTATGACAAAATCGGCGAAGTTGAAATGCCATAGCCAAAGTCAAGGTCTTTCAATGGTTGCCCTTCAAGACCAAAGACAGAGAATGCTATGAAATATCATTCCAAGTCGAACCACGCCTGTTTTTTGCACTTGGAGAAGATAGATATAGTATTCTACTTATTTACTGGATACTTTCTGCAAATGTATACTGTGAAGTAGGGTTATGGCGTTGCAAGACTAAGGCTTGCAGTTTAAGGTTAAGGCTACGTTTAGGTTTGAAGTTAGGTTTTGGACTTCGGACTGTTTCTTGAGTTAGGAGTTGGTTGGAGAATAGTGTCAGTAATATCAGTGGGTCTCAAAGTACCATGATCAGCAGTCACCTAGATGAATGAGTATATCGCGCATGGTATAATTTCTCCATAGTTCATCTTTTTATTGACTAGGAGACATTCTCACAACACATAATCTGCGAATATACAGTGTAATATCAAGTTTTCAATATCTTTTTAGTGCATTTTTCAACGATTATGTGAGTTTGTGGCATCGGAATTCTGATTGGTTGCTCAGGGTCACTGTGGTTTTGGTTGTGATAGCTTAACTTTGCCATAAAATCATTCATGTTATGGGCTTCCACAAAAAGTCCGAACAAAATTGAATGAACAGGGGGTTACTTAAAGTTAATTCAACATACATAGGCTGGCAATAACCGGTCTTTCGGGACTTTAGATCCCGGATCAGGAATATAATTAGATTGCAGGCACTGTGTTACGTGGTCATCTTTTTAACGGCTATGCGGCTTTTATTGCTTCGTGATCCCGAATACTTGTTCGATGTCAGTTGTATGTTCCATCGGGATGGCTGCTGCAGTCTAACTTTGCCCGTTTTTCTGGACATCATGGAAATCTGGCATTAACATGCAAGCAACGATAAGGAATGAATGGGTCACGGAATGATCTTGAGCAACCTATCAGATCGTCGGTCTTCGTGATATAATTCTACAGGAAAGGGTTTACAGAAAAAATTGAAAGTAGAAGTGCTGGAGTTGTACTACCAGTAATGCAACTGTTGGTGCTCCCAAATGCAAATATTCTTATTAATGTTTGGAGTACTTACTCCCACTTGTCGTCAGTAGCACACAGTAACCCTGAAGTAGATCACAGTAGAGATTTTGGTGACCCACCGGAACTGTGGAGAATTTTGGGCACATTTGACTAAATGCTTGTGATTGGCAAATGGGTCTGAAAAAGGCATGATGTACAGTCACTTAAAATCATCTGTGTACAGAAAGTGGTTGCAGATGTTTTTAATCACATTATTGCATCATATTAGCAACTTTTATCCACTTTGAACTGTTTTTTATTATATTTTTTGCCTTGAATATGCCTCCCTGCGGCATAAATGTGGAACGATTTTGATTGGCTGTTTTGGGTCATTTCGTTGATCGCCAAGTTTAGTCGATATTATTTATAATTACCCAAAAGCTTACCATACAGCACAGCCATTTACCATGTCTGTAGTTACTGTCACATTTTTGCTTGAGCATACAAATCTCCCACCGAATCCCGCTCTTTCTCATTGTTTATAACTTAAAACGCTGCATGCTTCTGAAGAGATATTCCCCTATTCCGTTTCGTACTATATTATATGACGTGCAATAATCCATCACTTTTACTTCAAAATGAATCAGTTGTTCATTACCATTGTCCGTCCTAAAGTTCGCCTGAAATTTTTCCTGAAAATTAGACTCACTTGATTTTCTTAGCTCTCCATTGTACCTTACTGTTTTAAATAATTATCCGTCATTTCATTTTCATCGTTGACAGGTTAGTTCACTTGTATTTCCTCTCATTACTTTGATGCCATTTAGCAGCACATTAGATTTGAAACACATCAATTCAGGTACTATGTATTAATTACCTGCTCTTTATAAATCCTATGAACACAATCTTGTTAGTATGTGCGAGTAATATAGACTCCATTTGGAAATCTCCCTTTGATGACAGATGCATTTGTTTCTTTTCTTTAACTCTGATTACATTAATGTTGTTTAGTAGTCTGTTATTTTCCAGTACCTCAATAAGTACGACATCGCACTTCTCGCTTTGTTGTGGAGCTACATCTTGCTAGTCTGTTGTTTTAACACTAGTGAGCTGTTCCGTTCTACTGAATTCACTTGCCTTTCATATGTTAGGTAGCGTCGGTGGCACAGTGGTTAGGACTCTCGCCGACCATGCACATGGTCCGGGGTTCGATCCCCTGCCGACGCACACCCGATATCTATGGTCGGCCTGCGAAATTTGGGCTACCGATATCGCATGCTGAAAATTCCATACTTGTACTGAAAATACGGTGTGGCATCAAGCTGTAATCAAAATAAATAATAAATAAAATATTTCAGCACCAAGCAAAAGGGATTGATTCTGAAGCACACTATTTCTGTTTAAACTTGAACTCGCCATTTCTATCTACTTATAAATGTCTTCATCGTGTCTATCTGCTCCGTCCCACTATATGCAGCTGTCACTTCAGGCATGGTTTAGTTGTCATTCAAAGGTATTTGTCACTGAGATATACATTTGCTCGTCTTAAGAGGTACCGTATTGGAATTTCTTAAATTTGTAATTCAAGTGTGTATTATTGACCATATATACTTCTACCCAATGTATCTTAGTATCGTCTCCTGTTCGATTCGGTCTTTAAGAACTTGTGATAGCTGTCAATCTTATTGAAGACGTTAACTGTTACAATCAAATCATGTTCTCACTAAGTGTGATTGCATTATTTCCGAACATCACACTAACAGAAACAATATACTACAAGTTGCGAACATACTGATTCAAAGTGATTAAACATTAGTATACATAATTATTATTTGAAAGAACTGTTGACATGTACGCTAGATTTCTAATTCTCTTTCAATAGTGAAATATATGCACAGAAAGAATGGTATAGTTCATGTGGAAACTCGAAAACCTCTAAAGAAACTGCTCAACAACTTTGTGTCTAACAGGTGGTACGCAGATGATACTTTTATTATCTCCAATAATTAAGCGAATTTAGAAGATACCCCAAGTTCTCTCCGTAGTTGTTATCCTGCAATCCAATTCACATTAGAGGAGTCTGATTAAAAAATAGCCTCCTTGGATGTTTAACTCACGGGACGTGACAACAGGACATTGAAAAGACCCATCCACAAAAGGCCGAAATAAAACGAACAACTTACGATCTTCTACAGTTAAATGCTTATACATACAAAACTGAATCTGGTCCGGTCAATGAGTCGAAGGACCCGCAACATTTTCATCCCTAACACCAATGAATAGAAGCTGAACGGTTTAAAAGGTGCCTATCGCAAATGGCTACCCTCAATATTTCATCATTTCAACCAATGAAGACTTCCGCCAAAACCACAAACACATTTTCCGTCTCCCAAAGATTCTCTGTCTGGATATACAATTCAGTCAAGACTCACTCACAGAAATCTTTAGGAACCGTTTTTCCCTTTGCACCTGAACTTCGACTTACTGTCTCTAGAAAACTAATTATTCGAACGAACGTGTGGAATAAGCTACCACTGTTGGTCAATGTCAATCTGTCGATTCATCTGCTTCTATAGTGCTAGTTATGTCGCCCTCTTCCATCATTGGCTATTCAAACGTATCGTCGAACATTTTCCCTGATGGTTTTACAGAGGAAAAAAATCCCACAGCTGTATTCTGGATGTCAAGCAAATGCTTAAACCAACTTTAAAATCATCTAGTGCGTACACAGAAATCTTGCCGAATGAGTACGAATTAAACTTTTACAAGACGCAAAGGCCATGGCAATCTACATGTTAAATCCTGGATTCTGCATACAGAAGAAGGTTGTTCAGTCATTAAACTTACTATGGACCTAATTTGCCTCAACACTTTATGCTTGATTTCTATTAATCCTGATTTTTGTTATATTTTTCTCCTCACTATAGCATTCACACTTCTTGTAACTGATCTTAATCCTCTTTTAGCTTCAGCTGAGATATACCCAATACTGTGAATTGTGTTACTTCACTCGATTACGTACTTAATTTTATTTCTCTCTACCCAGTTAATGCTTTCTGTGTAACACAACTGTTATCTAACACCTATAGTCTTAATGACATTTTTTGGAACATTCCTTTTGTTGCTGTGACAGTATTATGTATCTGAGGTTAAGTCGTTGAAGAGAGTAACTGTTCGCTGGATACTTCTATGTATGCAAATGCTGTTGATTGGTTTTTGTTAAAATTGTTGAAATGCAGTGCAATCTTCCAGTTTACTTCCTATATATCTCCCATCTCAGCAGCTCTACTTGGATATTGTATTTGACTGTAAACTATGTACTTTTTATGCAAGAGCTACAAACGATATTCGGTCTCAGAAACCTTACTAGATATAGCAAGGTTATTAAGAATAACTGAGTGTTTTAAAGCCGATCGTCTAGTACACGTATCGGCTACTGTCTTGATGTCTTTATTGTCAGTCATAATTTACTTATAAAATTATCTTGTATATTTGGGTACTTCAATCTGACCATTTTTGCTTTTATATTTTTAGGTCACTCCAGTCCTTCTTTTGTACAAAGCGTGTGAAGTCTGAAGTATGACTTCACTTTTGGTTACCACTACATCTGAGAAACAAGTTGATGCTGCAGTGGTCTGGGATCCTCTTGGGGGAAATCCGGTCGCTAGTTTGTCCGGTGAATTAGCTTCGAAAGCATCCATTACCGGTTTTTACGGAGGTGTGGCTTGCTCAACCGCCAGAAAACCTACTATACAAACGTGGAATTTCCATAGTGCTGTAATCCATTCCCTTCCTCTTGTAACATGTGTGTTAGACTTCAACACATAGAAATATTTTGACTAAAGGACTAGTCAGTGCCTTTGTTTTCACACCAGATGGAAATTATATCATAATAGCATTTGACAAGGAAATTTACGTGTATCAAGTAGGTTAATTTACTATTTAGAATATTTTAAGACTGGCAGCGGTTGTTTGATTGGTATTTTAGAGGGTTCGCATTCTGCTAAAATATGCGAGATGAAACTGGCTAACTGGGATTCAAATGGACCTGCCCTTTTAGTGTCAGCGGACGTAGTTGGATTTTTAGCTTGTTGGTCATTGGGAAATCTCGTCCGTGGAATCAGTATGGTAAGCTCACAGAGCGTTGGTGATAAAGAGCCACAATCTAATACAAACATCTCGAGTATGAAACATTCTCCGCTGTGGTATGTTATTCAAGCAAGCACTAGTCATCCTGTATGTACTATTATGGCGGACACAGTTGTTGTGGCTGGATCACAAGGTTTAAAGGTGAGTTAACATATATAAATGAATATATATATATATATATATATATATATATATATAACTATGGCTTATTTTTTCCAAACGTTTGATTGATTGCTTTAATCTTAATAAGAAGTTCATCCATTTTACAGTTTTGACTCAAAAAAGGCATAAGGACATAAAATATACCGTAATCGCCATTCACATTTTTGTTCTACACCTGTGTTGGGATCAATTTTAACTCTGTCTTCACCTAATACTTTGAATCAATGACTGATTTTGGCGGATGTTAGTTTCGATTGATTGCGTTAGTCAATCAGGCCTGATGTAATTCTTCCGGCATTTGAATGAATAATATGCAAGTTCAAAGAACAGTACATTCACTTGTTATCTTGCAAAGTTTCTCATTATTGTTCACAAAGGCTGTGTGTATTGAGAAAATCGGACAATTTTTTTTTGTGCACCATGTAACAATACGCGTTAGAATAAAATATAAAATAATAATTAGCTTTACACTTTTTCTTAGGATCAAAAGATCTTGTGACATTTATTACGTATAGAAGAGACCATGTATCTCCAAAAATGTATATCTTGAAAATGTTTTTCATTATTCTCTTGGGTTAAATAATCATTCCATTTCATCTTCATTTACAGATGTACAATTTATATGATGGTTCTGTTCTTGGATCTTTACTCACAGATGTTTCTGGTGGTTTGCTGAGTATCTGTCCTTCATCTGTTGGTGATGGAAAACTCTTCTGTGGAGGAAATGATGGTTTATTGTATACTGCTTATATACAATCACAAGGAGTAAGTGTACATATTATTACAGTTTTTACAAATTGTTAACATTCTTTGTTATGAGGAAAGAGTTCATACTGTTATTCCCTGTGTCTGGTAAAATTTTGTCTACTAATTTAACATTCACAGCTAACGTATTTTGAAAGTAATTTTGAAGGTTTTAAGGTAAGATTCAGCCGAAAAACAATATTGTTTTCTTATATGTTAAACTAGCCTTAGTAATAGTTCTCTTCAGATAGCACTACTTCGTTTTAAAAATTTTGTGTAGGATAAAGTTTAGACATAAAAACAAGAGATTAAATAAATCTGCAATAATTTGCACTAGTATTTGTTCTTGCTCTCTGAAAGTTTGTTTATAAAGGAGAATTTTTGTAACTCAATGTTCGGCCACATGTTTCTCTAGAAATCCAGTATAATCACCTCCATAAGAAATAGCTTACCATTCACAATTATTCCGATACGAAAATGTTATGCGTAAGTTAGTGCAACAGATTGACTGAGTTTCAACATAGAACTTAGCACAGAAATACAACAGTTCAAGTTGTCACACTCTATAAAGCATATAAAGGTAGACAAAAGAGATTCAAAAGGACTATAATGGACCAAAATGTGAGGGAGAAAGAATAGCAACATGGAAACACATGAGGACATAATGGGTATGCGAGATCGCAAAGAGTGAATGTTTCTGTGTCATTGAGAATGATCTTGAGCCATGACACCAATAGTCTCCTGTTACTGGTTCGTAGCATCCCGAGGCAAGCATCCAAACCAGGCAGTCTGCACCTCCCTACATGACTGAAACGAACTGTCAAAGACTTTATGAACTAATGTTAGGCTTTGGTGTGACCACCTCGAACTCTTTTCCAACCTGATACTGTGTTAGTCAAGGAAGGCCATAGCTCGGCATGTGCAACATGTGTCCTAACCACTCAATCGATTTACTTTCACAACCTCATCGATTGATTTACTCTCTTTATTTAATACTTTACTCCTAACCTCAATATTACTCACCCTATCAAACAGAACGCAAACATCAACAGTCACAAACAGTCTTTTTATATCTTCGACTTTCAATGACCATGTCTCACAGCCATAAAGGAGGACAGAAGCAAACTGGTGCTCAGTACACACGTCCTTTGGTCGACAGGCGGATATCACGTCTACGCCAGAGATGACGTAAGTTGGAAAATGCCACCTGAGCCTTTGTATCCCTCCTAACGTCTTGTCACTAATCAATTTAGGCTTCATCCGAAGAAGTCTTGCTATCGATCTCAGATACGGGTTTAGCTATTTCTTGCTTAAATAGGGACTCAGTATCGTGATCAAGTTGGGGGTTTGACTGCTTCACTGCCGACGGTTTTTTAAGTCCATTTAATCGTTAGAGCTCCTCAGAAAATGTTATCGAAAGGCAGCAACGAAACAATCTTATATAATGAAAGCCCTCGAGGCTTTATGTTAAAACGAATCACTTCTCGCAAAACCATAGCGCCGGGGAGGAGAAATGATATGAACTCTGGATTCAGAGGATAAATTATCATGAAGGTATTAAAAACCCATTTATCTGAATACACTAAACTCAATTTCTACAGACTCTGAAACATAGGTATATTTATCGGTGTCCAACACCTGCGTTATTTCTTGACGTGAAGTCAGAATTTCACTTGACCAGCTGAGAGGTGCTATGGTAATGTTTGGCAGTGAAAGGAGTACCGAGGAAAGATATTGCAGTAATCAAGGCATTTACCTGAATTCACAAAGCCGTCTAAGAGCTTAGGTTGTCTTCTGAAGCGATGACAACCAGTGGTGTCCGTCAGGGATGCCCACTGTCTCCACTTCTGTTTAATTTCATCGTAGATGTACTAATGGGCGTAACCCTAACTGACTTCAGCAACTCAGTGATTGACTTGTTACCAGGGAATAGTCTTGTTGAATTAGAATGTGCGGACGATATAATCTTCCCTACTATGTGAAGACCCTGACAAAATGCAGTCTTCTGAACACCTTGAGCTACAATCTTCGAATGTTTGGCATGCCATTCGCTCCCACCAAATGTAAGATGATGCTACAGGACTGGACTACACTGACTCCTAGCTTAGTAATACGGAGGAAGTGGTAGAGCCGTTGACCACTTCACTTATTTGGGAAGTTGCATCAGCCCCAACGGGTTGGTTTCGCAAATGCCAGTTTGCGCCGTCTCTGGCGTAGATGTGATATCCGGCTAGCTGTCGATCAAAGGGCATGTGTACTGCTCAGCA